GGGGGAGGCCACAGCCTTCAGGGCCGCCGCGCGGCCCTGCGCCTCGCGGCGGATCGAGCGCAGGCAGGCGAACATCTTCCCTCGCGTCTTATGTGAATCGTCCCCCTCCGGTACGTTTGTAGGGGGTGAGAGCTACACCCCAAAAAGAAGAAATACAGAGAGGAAAAACTGAAGCAATAGATATATACCTATACCTATACATATATATATATATATATATTGCTTGTGTATATCATAGAGAGGATGGTACCGGATGAACATTTAAGGGCATTATCAAATCAGATTTCGTAATTTGTTGAGGATTAAGGCATCCTATCCCTGAAAAGATTAGTTTAGGTGGTTTAACACATACCGAAGCTAATATTTAGATGGATATAAGTAGATGGATGGTTGTTTTCAATAGCGATGGTTTTCACTCATTTTAACTTCTGGTTTGTTTTTGCGTTATTAATCCATTGATCAAACACTTGTCCACTTCTTTTTTTTTTATTTACAGGTAGCTTTTTGGAAAATAACATAAAAAAAATACTGAATAAAATTGGAGTTTAAGAATAATTCAATCGGAATATATAATGTGAGTGTTTTTGCCTGTCGGATTCGCTTTTTACGTCTTCATCACTTCAGATTGTGGTATAAATAAACTATCAAATAAAATAATACATAAACCTAAAAAAAAAAAACAATTATAAGATCCACGAGTGATGGCGGGGCTTCTTCTCTACTTGGTCACCGGTTTGCTGCCAGTGAAGCTCAATACCGGATCCGCTGTAGGACTCATTGTGTCGTCTGCGATAATAGGAGTTATTGTGCGATGGATATAACGCCTCCCCGTGCGAGGTGGAGGTCAGGCCGAGGGAGCTGAACTTTTCGGGCAATTTATCGAGGTTGAAGGACCGGCGTGATTTCGGGGGGTTCGGCGTCATGCATGTTTTGTGGAGAAAAGACCGGCGGCGCAAGATCCCCGAGGTGGGGGCCGGTTCGAAGACGGAGTTATAGCGTTTCGGGGGGCGGGCGCTGGGGCTCTCCGCCAGGGAGGCCGAGGTCCGTGAGGGCGGGGAAGGAATCAACATGAGCGTCTGCACGGACTTCGTATCATCGTGGGTGGAGGCGGATTTTAGGGAATGGCACCGGGTCGTCGGTTTGTGCGGGCTGAGGCCGCCGCCATGTCGCTCGGCCTCCCGCACCGCGAGTTCCTTGTAGAAGTAGGCGAAGTTGTTGAAGTTGATGGTGAGGGGGAGGTGGGTGGGGTTGACGCCCGGGAAGGCGAGGCGCTCGACCTCCCGCCATCCCATCCCGAGTTCCTCGCACAGCGTCAGCATCGCAAAGTCGATGAAATCGACGCGGTGGAGCACCCCGAAGCTTCCCAGGTCGACGCCGTCGAAGAAATAGCGAAGCGTCTCGACGTCCTTCTCGTAGAACGCGACATCCATGGTTTTGGTGAGCTTCATGCGCACCATCAGGCGGTTAATCAGCTTCCGGGCCTTGGTCTTGCAGCGCGCGATAAACGGAAGGCGCCAATACAGGTCAAGAAATTTGCTCCCGCGCTGGATTTTCTTCCGCTCGACCTCGGCCATCCGGCTCGTGGAGAGCGGCTCGGGCGAGGATTTTCGCGGCCGCCATCCCTCCCAGGAGGAGGGACCCCTGCCCAACGTCGACGCCTCCTTCGGCAGCGCCAGCGACGGCAGGGCGGGGGCCGGGGGGTTTCGTTTCTTCTCCCCCTCCGCCCGTTCGGCGTCGATGCTTTCGGGGGGTTTGACATTGGGGAGGCGGAGGCGGGGGCCGGAGCGCCCCTCCCCCTCCTTCCTCAATGGCGACCGCATCGTCAACAGGGCGGACCGGGAAAGCAGCGACGCCCGCCTCTCTCTCTCGGATGGTGGGTGGGGAATGGGCGGGAGAAAGGACTCCGGGGCACCTTCCTTTCTGTCCTCTTCCCTTTTCTTCTTTTCTTCTCTCTTCCGCTTCTCTTCTTCTTCTTCCATTTTCTTCTCTTCTTTCCTTTTCATCTCTTCTTCTTCCTCCTTCTTCCGCTTCTCTTCTTCCATTTTCTTCTTCTCTTCTTCCTCCATCTTCCGCTTCTCTTCTTCCATTTTCTTCTTCTCTTCTTCCTCCATCTTCCGCTTCTCTTCTTCCTCCTTCTTCCGCTTCTCTTCTTCCATTTTCTTCTTCTCTTCTTCCTCCTTCTTCCGCTTCTCTTCTTCTTCTTCCTTCTTCCGCTTCTCTTCTTTCCTTTTCATCTCCTCTTCTTCCTCCTTCTTCCGCTTCGCTTCCTCTTCTTTCATTTGCTGCGACTTTTCCCATTCTTCTTTGATGGTTTCCGATTTCGCCCTTTCCTCGTCCCTTTTCCTTTCCTTTCGCTTTGATTTGGCCTCTCGGAGGGAGGGGAGGGCGGGCTTTCGCGCGCGCATCGCCGGGGTGGGGTAGCGCCCCTCTCCTTTCTCCTCGTCGTCGCCCGTGGTTTCCTCCGCGAAGCTGTCGAAAAAGATCCGCCGGGCGCGTTCGCGGCGGCGATGGAAAAGCCGCCGCCAAAACATCGTCAAACCGCCCGCTTTGCCCTCGCCGGGGCTCTCGAAAACGGCGGCGAAGGGGGTCTGGGCCGCCCGTTCGGCGGCCTCGACCTCGCGGCAGGCGGCGGCGTGCGCGCGCAGCTC